ACTCTCCTCTTTCTGGGGAGAACTGATCAAATATACAGTTCTTCAGATTTAAAGGTCAAGAAAGGTATTACATAAAAACATCAAGGCATTAATCACAATATTGCACCAACTAAACATAAACACCTCTTTGGAAGTGGCGGATGAACAGGACAGCTATGAGTTTAATTATTCAGAATCTGTACCTTCATGTGTACTCATACTAATCAACTCCTGCCATACAAGATCTGCCATACTGTTGGTGTGAGGCAACAGAGATACAATTATCAAGGGCATGCACCCGAAGTAAGGAAATATCCTAGAATAAGGGAGCACAGTACAAAGCTAGAATAGTGAAAGATTTCATAAAAATTTTGAGGATGCCATAAAACTTTTTTAAGTTGCTGCAGTTAGTTCATATGTATTAGCCTGTGTTTATACAACAACATTTGCAAATAACTTAGTGATTGTATTTAAAACGATATTGAGATGATGAGAATGTCAGCAGCTTTGCTACTAATTTCATACAAAATGATCAGAAAATACCAGCTTTATAAAACAGTGCTCTAGAAGTTTTTAATATTATATAATAAAATGCAGTGGAGTAGACACATACCAAAAGATTCAGAAACTGCCATTCTCACAAGCCACCGAGCAGTGTGATATGATCAGAAACGATTTGCTACACCATTTATTGCCTTAAAAGAGCTTCCTTTATTTAGCCTACATTAATTTCAAAGTTGGTATGTTAACTGAAACACAACCTATATTCTTCCATGCCTATTTAATATCTCTGATAAGCTGATGTATATTAAAGGTTATTTAACCACTTACCTACCGTTATTTTTGCTGGCAAGACAAGTATAAAGGGTGGAAAGATAATGCTGAAAAAAGTGACCACTGAACTCTATTCAATATATTTCAGTTACCCATGAAGTGAATGACCCAATTTCTAATCTCAAAGATTGTTGGCCAGGATACATCAAGAGAAACTCCCTTCTCTTTTTGAATAGTGCCATGAGATCATTAACATCCACCTGAACAGGCAAGCAGGATCTTGGTTTAACATCTCATCAGAAGGACGGCACCTCTGTAATTCAGCACTCCCTCAACTCTGAATGCAGATAGTTCAAAGTGCCGAAATGGGGTTTCAATCCACAACCTTTCAACTTAAAGGTGACGGGCCAGCATGTAGCATTATTACAGCATCTTCAAGAAAACTAGCAGTGGGCTTGCTAGTGGAGATTTTGAATTAGGGATAGTTGAAGCTATCCTTAGTGATTGTGGCAGCCGGGAAAATTAGCAGCGGAGGCAACATCAAAAGAGGTTGACAGTAAGAAGTATACTACACATGGAAGATTTTTTTTAATATAGTGCCTGAGCAACTGTATCTGTCCTAGTTTTTATTTAATGGTATTTGCAGGAACCTCCTGTAATTTCCCCATTACAAGTTTATTTAGGAGTCATATTGCTATTTAAGGTAAATTACTGTACTTAACAGGTCTTGAACAACTATTACAGCCTACTCAGCTTATCAACTATGTTGATTATTCAGTTCAACTCACTCAAGAGGACCTTAAATGCTGACAAGTCTTGCCTATTGCTTTTAAAGTGTTATTGTGTTTGTAGATTTCTCCAATTGTAAAATAAATTGGTCAAGGAACAATTTATTTGCTTTTGAGATCCATAAACAAAGAAAGATAAGATTACATATGTTCTAAATTTATAATAGTGCCCATTAATCCCTCTTCACAGGGCAACAAAATCAAATTATATTCAATGGGCACATCGGGACAGGAGCCGAGTGTGGAGTGAGGGTGAGAGAGGGATTAATTGCCTTTCCACTCCACTTTAGTTACAAAGCGTTCAATTTTAAACCCATTGCTTTACCAGATTTATTTTCCAGATAGATTGTTTCTATGTTATTGTAAATCATGATGACACTGCAGAGTGGTTTCTGTTGACAAAAAGAATCAACTCTCAAACACCATGAAGATATAGAGAAAAGTCACCTTTCTTTCCTTTAGAAACTCAGACTACTGGAAGTCTGGGAAAGCATAAAGATGGTAGACTGTTCGACAGAAAGGAATTTTCGCCTTGTCTGTGGTTTTCCCAGGTGAAAGCAGGACACGTGTGCCCAACATTCATTTACAAGCAACGAAGGATTATTAGTCAGGAGCAGCAGGAGGAAGGGCAGAAGGAGAGAGAAACACAAGGATAAATCTGGTTAAAGGCAACATATACAGGAACTTGTGTACAAACAGCTTCTAAAATTGCTAATTGCAAGGGTGCAATCTCTGGACTTTTATGTAACTTTTTATAAAGAAGTGAAAGTTTTCTAGATAGGTTATTAATCCTTCAGTAGATAAAGTATCACATTGCCAAAAACTGTGAAAAAATGGAGCACATGTACAAATCCACGTAGCCATACATTCAGAGGTGCAGACACCACATATCCAAGTACCTATCGAAAGGTTAATGTGCATGCGTCTAGGTGCACTAGACTGGTATCACCCACAAAACAGAAGGAAAAGCCAACTCTGTGCACAACTAATCCATGTCCATTTCTTTAGGTTTTATAAGTAAATAAATAGTGCCACGAAAACCAGCTCCCCATGCACTAGATCTGATATTTTTGTGCACAGGTTAAAACACAATATAAGCCAATGGGGTCAGTTCACAGCTGACAAGAGAAATATAGACTTCAAGCAAATAAAAGCACCCTGTCCAACTTGCTGTTACAGATATTTCTCTATATATCTCACCACTGCATGTAACAAAGGAAAAAAAAAGGCAACTCATGCTTGCTTGATGGAACATTGACACCAATTTACGAACAAAAAGGAAATGCATCATTCAACATAACATAACATAACATAACATAACATAACATAACATGTAGGAGCAGGAGTAGGCCATTCGGCCCTTTGAGCCTGCCCCGCCATTCAAACATGGCTGATCTTCTAATCTAACTCCAGCTAATAACCTAATCCTGCCTTATCCCCATATCCCTTAATCCCTTTTGCAATAAGAAATCTATCTATCTCAGTCTTGAATATGTTCAAGGACTGAGCATCAACAGCCCTTTGGGGTAGCGAGTTCCATACATTCACCACCCTTTTGATTGAAGAAGTTCTTCCTCAACTCAGTGCAAAAGAGCTGGCCTCTGATTTAAAGGTTGTGACCCTTGGTTTTAGTTTCTCCAACCAGGGGAAACAATCTCCCACTATCTACTCTATCATGCCCTTTGATGATCTTATAGGTTTCTATAAGATCCCCTCTAATTCTTCTATATTCTGGAGAATATGGGCCTAAATTGGTCAGCCTATCCTCGTAACTCAACCCCTTCATCCCTGGTACTAACCTAGTAAATCTACGCTGCACCCCCTCCAAGGCAAGTACGTCCTTCCTTAAATAAGGAGACCAAAACTGCACACAGTATTCCAGGTGTGGTCTCACCAGGGCCCTATACAGTTGCAGCAAGACTTCCCTACTCTTATACTCTAATCCTTTCATAATGAATGCTAACATACCGTTCGCCTTCCTAATTGCTGCTGCACCTGCAGACTAACTTTCTGTGATTGGTGTACAAGGACACCCAAGTCCCTCTGGACGCTAACACATTCCAATCTCTCCCCTTCTAAAAAATAACCCGCTCTACTGTTTTTGCTACCTAGGTGGATGACTTCGCACTTCCCTACATTATACTTCATTTGCCACCTACCTGCCCAATCACCTAACCTATCTATGTCTCGCTGCATTTTTTTAATGTCGTCCTCTGTTAACACTTCCTCCTGGTTTTGTGTCATCTGCAAATTTAGATATATTAACTTCGATGTCCTTATCTAGATTGTTGATGTAGATGGCAAATAGCTGAGGCCCAAGGACTGATCCTTATGGCACTCCACTAGTCACATTCTGCCAATCTGAAAAGGACCCGTTTATCCCTACTCTTTGTTTCTTACCCGTTAACCATTCCCAAATCCACATTAATATGCTCCCCCCAATTCCATGGGCCCTTATCTTTTGGACTAACATTTTATGCGGCACCTTATTGAATGCCTTCTGGAAGTCCAAATAGACCACATCCACTGATTCACCCTTATCTAGCTTACTCAAAATATCCTCAAAAATCTCTATGAGATTTGTCAAACATGACTTCCTTTTGTAAAGCTAACGTGTGCCACATGTGAAACACATTCACAATGCACTATTCTACTCTAAGTATTAACTCATAAAAAATGAAAAATTGTATCTAATCAAATAGTGAACGTTCTGCATTGGAAACTACCTTAACCATTACAGTATCTAGTAGTAGTATTAACCACAATGAACACATTTGTGGTGCCTTTGCTTTCTGATTTAAATTGTAGCAAAAAGTAAATTAAATATCGAAAGTAGTTAAACTCATACATGGTACTTGCAAGCATGATTTACAATGAAACATGCATTTATGAAACATAAATGTCAAGACACCCACAAAACAACCCAGACTAGAACAGACATACTTTAAAATTCTACCATAATCTATAATGCATAAAAAAATCTATTTCAGTTAAGATTTATGATTTCATTTTATGAATCTGTGACAGAGAGTAAAAGATCTAAATTAAATAATAGCCATCATTCCCACCACATAGTCATAGGATTGGGGGAAGTAGGTATATTCCAAAGTGGTATAATTTAGGAGCAAGGGATTATGAGACTTTTTAAGGTTTACTATGACTAGAATAATACTAATATTATATAATTTAGCTATATAAAAGAGTTAGATACATACAATTCAATGTGCACCCATGTTATTCATTTAGATCTATTTAGTCTCTCTTATTTAACCCATTGTGAACCAAATAGCCAGAAAAACAGTGCAAGTTGACATCCCGATACAGTAACCTCCCATTAATTAATATTTCACCATAAGTTAAGGAACTGTTGTATGGTAATATTTAACATCAGATTGCCATATTGTTATTATTAATTATTATTATTTACAGATACCTTTTTACTCTACGCACTGAAATTACCTGAACTTTTTCTGCTGCTGTTGGCCAAAGCTGCCTGCAAAGCACTTTTTTAACCACATCTGGAAGGAGGCTGACTGTTATCAGCAGGAAAATACCTAACCAAGCCGGCCCACTTGACAACATTTGCATGAAGACATAGTACATTCTCTGGTAGTTGAGGAAGGGCCTGAAAATAAAATAAAAATCAAGGTAAAGGAAGGTTTAGGAAAAGAGTTTTAAGGAAATTGTATAGGATGTAAAGAATTGTATAGGGTGTAAAGAAGCAACTTCTTGATTTCAGCATGCATTTACAGATTTTATGAATTAGATCAAAGCATACAAATAATGTCCTCAATCACATTTTCTTCTGCGCACATGATGTTATTGAAAACTGATGTGAAAGCCTCTGTGTTCACATGTTTTAAATACATGCATCATAATTCTTTAAAGCGTCTCATGAACACATTTAGAAAGATGTGCCACACCACATGTGAGACACACTGTATGGTGGCCTTCTCTGCTTCCATGGCACTTGGCAAGGTAGCAGAGTCTCTCCCCCATGGTAATGTATCTCAGTGAGGCAGCTCAGGTCACCCAGATTCCAATTGGCCTATTCTCATCCTCTTCCAAAATACCCTACAAGCTTCCCTAAAAGCTGGCCTGTCTTCATAGAGGAAGCAAGTGGAGTCCTGAAGCTCAGTGGTTAGAGCACTCGCTTTGCAAGTGAGAGACCTGAGTTCAATTCCAAGCAGGGCGAAACCTTGGGCAAGTTTCCTTACTCCACACGCCTAATAATAATCCCTCCAAAAACCCAAAACAATAATAAATTGGTCATTTTCAATCTACGACTGTTTGTGGGACATTGCTGTGCGCAATTGGCTGCCGCGTTCGCCCACAAATATACAGTCAATTCACTTTACAGTGTGTTCTGTGAAGCGCTTTGGGACGTCCTCCCGACGTGAAAAGCGCTATATCAAATGCAAGGATTATTATTATTATTATTATTTTGACTTCTCCATAAACCTAGTTTTCATTAATGTCCAAAACATAGGGGGGAAATTGTAACTCAAATCATAGGGATCTAATATGAAGTGATTGAAATCCAGATTCCTTAGTAAGGAAACTGAGTGGGGAACCAGAAGTAAATCTGCAGAACTTAACTGCAAAGGTAGATAAAGCCGGACTGATTCCCATGTGTCGGTGTGACATGCTTTTGGTAACTAACTAAGCAATCCTGTTAGAAATCATCACGTATCAACTCTCCAGCCGCCAGCTTCTATTTCCACTTCGTCCCCAAAGAAGGATTCTGCCCACTTAGCTCTTGGCTAACAATTTAAACAGAAAACTATTTGTATTAAAGTAGCTGTTTCTGACTTCTTACATTTCTCACATTCATCTCAGTGATTTTCTCACCATCTCACCAAAAACCTCCCATTCTACGATTGTTTTTTAAAAAAACATCCCATATGTATTATTTCACCAGGTTATCTGTGATGAATGTTACATTTTCAATAAAATGTTTCTGCCAGGGAGGGGGTCGGATTCATATCTGCAACATTACCTTATTGCCTCTCAGAAAAGATGTATGGTTACCAACTTTACAAGTGGGAAGAGCAATGCATTGGTGTCACATTGATTTAATGTAAAAGCATTCTTGCTTGCAATAGTATCTGTATCTTTTTTAAAAAAGACAGATTTTACCTTGCCCCCACCCCCAACAATAAATATGCTCTTGCAACAGTATTGTTATATAATGCAACAAAGAATTTGATATAAAAGAGGCCTTTGCAAACTAACATGAAGTCATCAATCACATTTACAGCCATTTGTTATCAGCAAGCACCAGAGACACTGCTTACAGCAATAACCTGCTGATTCTATGACATGCTACTCATTTGATGTATAAGGCCATCAGATTCTTACCAGAAATAATGGTGCAGATTAGCTAACAAATTCATCTAGCAAATAGATTTTGATATAAATGATCATCTGTAACTACACACAAACCTCAGACAGATGTAAACATTTTTTCTGTTTAGTCCAATATTTCTCATTTACTTACCAGATAATGCCTCCCCAGAGAAGGGAGAAGATGATGTAAAACAGCAGTGAGCCCCATATAACAAAGTGGTTTACCCATGTCCAGTTGTGAGTATCTAGTGCAAGCTGCATAGAACAGAAATAGGGCAGATTTAGAGCTATTCCACGTTCGCGATCTGTACAACTGCAAGACTTTATACAGTACATGGAGGTTATCCCCACAATTAAAATTCAGTCCAGTAAAGGATCAAGCTGATGCCAATGTTAAAATGTTCTTTAGTAATTAAAAAAAAAGGCAAAATGTTTTGTAAATGAATGTCTGAAAGACCCTTTTCACTTTGAGGCTTCCCTGTCCCCTCTTCAGTCACAGAGAATCTTTATTGTCATTTGAGTGACAAATTGATATTGACAGAACATAGAGCAACAACATTTATAGCTATTTTACCACGTTATTCTCATAAAGCATGGTTATACGGTCCAAATTCTTAATTTTATCATTATAGGGTAGGTTTACATAAATCATTTACATAAATCATTTTATGTAAGACCACCGTATGTTTAATACTAAAAAATTTACATTTAGTATAGCGCTTTTCATAAAAACAACAAACTACATTTGTATAGCACCTTTCACATTGGGAGGACATTGCAATGTGCTTCATAGGGCATACTGCAAAGTGGAGTGACTGTCTGTTATGTATGAACGTGGCAACTAATTTTGCACACAGCAATGGAATGAATAACAAATTTTATTTGGGAGATTGTTGGCCAAGACACTGGGAAACTCCCTTCTCTTTTCAAATGGTGCCAAGGAATCTTTAGCATCCACTTGCACAGGCAAATGGAGCCTCAGTTTACATCTCATTTAAAAGAACACGCATGGCATAGAAAGAATGATACAAAAGGCATCGCCTTTACAAATTACATTGAACTTTAAAGCATAGTGTATACTGTAAAGTGGAGTGTTTTGTGGGTGACCACAGTAGCCAAGTTTAAACTCTGGCACGCTCTCCCTCAATCCCTCCGCGTTGCCCACTCTCTCCCCTTTTATGAGTCTCTCTGAAAACCTTCCTTTTCGACCGGGCTTACGGTCACTTCCGGCCACCCACCCTCCCAGCTCAGAGTCAGGCTCCGCCACTGTTAAGTGCTCTGAGACCTACCCTGCATGGAGGGTGCTTTTGTAAGTACAAGTTGTTGTTGTAAATGTTTGAATAGCAGTTTTTTCCATCATATAATGAAGTATCCAGGTCCTTGCGCAGTACATAATCAAACATACCTTAAGAGTTACTGTAAACACCAGCACAGTGAAGACAAGGGTCCCAAATGTCCAGTTTCCAAACATCTGAAAAGTTGCAGAAATAAATTTAGAATTAGATGATCAACCAAATGAACCTTATCCTGTGGGCAGTCTAGCAGTACATCACCTCCTAATATACTTTAAATGTTAAAAATAAAGTGGTTTCTCCTCCACTTCTTTGTTGCTGCATCAAAGATTTCCACAAATCTGCACTTCAGAAAGGAAAAGCAATGTTCCATTTGCAGTATATCAGGTTCTGTTATGAATGCAAAGCAATTGGCTGTCTTTCACTTCATTGCACAAAGTCTGAATGAATATCTTTTCAGACCATACAAATGAACAAGGCAGCAGCTCCCACCACAACTCAAGAACGCTGCTGGCTATATGTTCCAAAGTCATTTAGTGAACTTTAATGTGCCACTTTTAACAATTTGCACATTTTATTTTTAAATAATGGGATATCAAGTGATGATGTAGCTTTGAATTCTGAACCACTAAATCAGTAGTAGTTCAAGAATTTATCACTACAAACCCAGTGATGAAATGTTCTTGAACAAGTATTGAAGAGCTTTGAAGAAGGATAACAGTGTAATGTATTACTACCAGAAGCTAATCACAATGAGTGTATTGAGATGTGGGAGAAGTATGTATTTATTTGGGGAGAAGAGGTTAAGGTACAATTAATGTTAACCCTTTGAAGACTAGTTTTTATTTTGAATCATTATTTTCAGACATTATTTAACTGCAACCAGAAGAAAATAATATTCTCTAGTTTCACCTATATTAAATAATTCCATTTTAACATGACAATGATTTTGAGCAGTACTTGCCAATGTGCTGCTGTAACTATTGGTAACAACCAAATTTCACCCACCACAATGATACTGTACCCGAAGAGAGTGCACAGCAAGATTGTTCTGTGAGCGATGAGTTTGAATGAAAACATTGATTTTGGTTAGAACAGAGTTTCATCTCTCAAACAACAGATTCATTACTGCTTTTGCGAATTGTACTTTCGAGAAGATGGAAACAATGTCTGTATTTTGCAAGCAATAGAAATAAGTGCTCAAAGGGTTAACCACATCAATCAATACCTATCCATTATATGTCCCAACAATGAGGCAGGGTGAAAGACAGACAGAATTCTTACCATGTTTGAGTTGGCTGTCATTAGCTGAAGTTAGGAAGAGAAGCAAACAGCAAAAAGGAAAAAAAAGTAAGACGTAAAGTAAACTAACAAAGAAAAAANTGAGCACAAAACTGTTAATGATATTTTTCGAAAACAATGCATAAAAAGATGCCTACACTGTTGCAATAAAATGAATGTTTTGTTAATGACTCGCTGTAAGAAACATTAGCAATAAATAGGAGCAATAAAGGCTTCAAACAAATTGAGCAGCAGCAGGTTGTTAAAGCTACATAACCCTACGTTTCTAAATAGCTGGGAAGAATACTAACCTGCCCATTACTGGTCATGGTTGAATTGTCAAAGAGGAAATAAGCACCAAAGAAAAACACCACTGCATCAAACACCCCCAGGAATGTCCAGTATATAAACAACCGCCAACGTAACAAGGCATTTTTGGCAATGTCCCTAGTGGTTGAGAAGAAAAGCATTTAAATGAGCATTGTTTATTTATTAGAGTAATTCAAAACATCAAGCTGCAACCTGTATTACTGTGACATACACATCTTATTGAAGCACAGTGCTCCTTTGATTCAGCTAAAGGCTCTTGTCATTATATGGTCCATATATTTGTTTAAAGGTACAGTTTTCCAAATACACTGTATCTACACCTCTGAAAGTAAAATTTACTTAGCTACATGAATACACACACGTTCATTTTGTTGTTTGGTTTTACCTTCACAGTAGCATGGTATGCTGTATTAAATGTACATCTTAAATGAATAATAAACATTTCATATTAGTTTGACATCAGGTATTCAGTAGTTATGTGTGACTTGCAATAAGGTGCACACATCTATTGCTTTCCTGGGAAGGGGGCTGCTTGTATTCAGGTGGCGACCAATTGGTGTGACTAACAAATCAATTATGGAGAGAAGACAAAACCCTGAGGAACCTCGCACATATTAATTTTAGTGAACATAGTACACAATATCTGCAAATCAGGAATTTCTTCATTTGATCCAGAGGACAATGCTACATTTGTTATCACAGCAATTAGATGCTGAGGTGAGAAAAGCCAGGAGTTTACCTGCTTATCTGATGGGTTATGGGAAGTCTTGAGAGGAAGTGAATTGGAGCCCAACTCAACCGGAAGTTAAGAAAGTCAATTTCGCTCGCTTTTTTAAATAAAAAGTATAGCATTCCAGTTATACACCCGTTTCTACACCACTGAACATAAAATTTACTGGAGCTATACCCTGTACTTTGCCAGGGCAGCTGAATTTCTAGTCATGTCCAGATGATGTCCCTGTTCACAGTTCAGTTTCAAAAGTGCTATGGAAATATAAAGCCTCCAAACTCACCTGTACAGTGACGGGTCTCTCTTCAGTATGTCAATACTGACATGCTGTTCCATCAGGCTGTACAACAGGATGGGAAGGGAAGTGAAGCTGATGTTGTACAATGTAAGATATGCAGTATCATACAATGGCTGAAAAGGAAGACATTTATCAATTTTTTCAAATACTTTCAATAAATTAATTTATCATTATTGCTTTACTTTGCTTAGGTATGGTACTGACCTGTTGAGAAAATCCACAAAAGAACTGGTACAAAAACTGAGGAAATATGAAGCAAACATTCTGCAAAGCAATAGAAACATGCAATGAGACCATTAAAATTCCACAACACAGAATGCGTTTCAAACCTGTGCATCATGGAAACTTCAATTCCATAGCAACACTCTACTCATTGGACAACCACCTTGAGTGAAAGATAAAGCAAGACACGTTACACCTTCAAGGTTTATTGATTAGAATTATATTACATCACCATGCTTAAGAGTATCCAAATAAGACAGAGTCCCATGTATATGTGGAACTTTCCACATCTGGAATGGATTACACACTCTCTCCCTGGAGAAACACATCATGATTACCCAATTCCAGAGTCTATTGGGCGTATTAAAAACATTAAGCATGAATGAGAACATTCCCTCCTTTACAGCCACTCTGCAAACTATCCAATTCGTCCCTTCTTAATCTCCTGAGTGATAGTCTAACATTATTTTTCACAACCTCCAAAATGAAGGTCATATTCCAGAATACATATCCAATAACCCATTGTTCAGCCTTGACTGCCTAATATCCCCAGTTTAAATTTACTGAGTCACATCAACATAAGTGTCAACTTGCTTTGTGCATTTGATTATTTCAGTCTGTAATAATCTACAATTCGTTTTATCCTTTATTAGCTATTTATCCAGCTATCTTTGAATGAATTAAGCATCAACTACTTTGGAAATGTACAATTTTTGAAAAGGAAGAAATATTGATTCTAATCTTTGATTTAACTTAGTTTGTAAATTCTTAATATAGGCCTCTACTTTTACGCACTGAGTCAAATTAGATATCTTGTACGCATTCATACTATCTATGTCTGTTATGTAAAGACCTATATTTTTCTCTGGTTGATATGATATAAATTACCACCCATTAATATCTCAGATACAGACAACCGAACTACAGATAAAAGTTCAAACTCCCAATTTCACCCAAATGTTATCAAAAAAACTCCAGAATAATAAACTAGCATTGTAATCTAGATTATTCAATCCCAAATGTTCAGGTTTGACTGTTAACATTGCAAGTTTCCAAATAGGTCTCACACCCCGCAGATAGTATCACTTACCATCACAGTTTAAACAATTTGCTTATGTATGTATGTAGTCAGTAGGTTAGCAAACATGTCCTCTACTTCTTGAACGTGACTTTTAATCAAGGTCACAGAACAACAATATCTTGCATTTATATAGCATCCTTCACGCAGGGCAATACTAAGCCTAAATCTCCTCTCACTGCCATCTACAAGGATCCTGCACGAGAAGGACAAACAAATAATGTCCTCACCTTATAGAAGAAATACTGGACAAGCTCTGCTATTCGAATGTAATAATAGTGCCCATGTACAAGCATCAGCTTTTTGAGATGTTTGAATTTGGGAATAGCATAATCACTATTCCTCGCAGCTTGCCGTCCTTCTTTCCCCATTAAACCTGTAACAAACAAAGCATTTTAATATTGCATAGTGTTAAAAATTGTACTGAATTCAAATGAATTCACGGATTGATGCAAATAAAACTTGAATTAGACTATTTTTACCTTGACTTTACTTACACAAATACAACAATGCAAATAAAACGATATACCTTTACCCACACTCCTTGTGACTCGGATGCAATTTCAATATCAATTGGAGGTTGAAAGAATAAGGAATAATAAAGTGAATGATTAATTTTATATGGAGATTGTTGAACAGGATACTGGGAGAAAATTCCCTTCTCTTTTTGAATAGTTCCATGGGGTTTTTAACATTCATCTTTCGTCCACAAAATATACAGTCAATTCACTTTACAGTATATTCTGTGAAGCGATTTGAGACAACAAAATTACATTTGTATAATGCCTTTCACGTCAGGAGGACATCCCAAGATGGTTTGAAACGTCTCGAAGATGTGATAAGGCACTATATCAAATGCAAGGATTATTACCTGTGACAATCCAATGCTCCCCCAGCATTGCACAGAGCGATGAATCTGAATCGTAGTCCAGTGGCATCAGAGAAGTTGTCAAACAATTATACAGTGAAGGAAATGGACACCAAATCATGCAAAAAAAATGTCAGGTCAAGTGTCCAGCTGACTCAGTTGGTAACACTCTCGCCTTTGAATCAGAAGGTTCATTCCGAGATGCTACCCTGCGTGAAGGGCACTATATAAACGCAACTTGTTGTTGGGTTCAAACCCCATATTGAAATTATAGTCTAGGCTGACACTCAAATGCAGCGCTGGAGGGAGCATTGTGTTATCAGAGGAGAGTCATTTAACCGAGTTCCTATTCAGGTGAACAGTAAAGATCCTATGGCACAATTCGGGAAGTGACGGGTTTCTCCCAGTGTCCTGGCCAAGAATCCACCAGACAAAATTAGTCATTCTTCATGGCTGTTTGTGGGAGATTGTTTTGTGCAAATTGGCTGTCCGACTCGCCTACAAAATATTCAGTCGCTCCTCTTTACAGTAAATCCTGTGATGCGCTTTGAGACATCCTGCTGACATGAAAGGCGCAATAGAAATTGTAAGCTTTTTTATGGTTTATTCATATTTATCCTTCAAACATATGGAAACATAAAAAAATCATCTTACCTATACCAACATGAGCTTCCAAAATCATACTAACATCATTAGCTCCATCCCCAATTGCTAACGTTATAGGGCGCTCTTTTGAACATTTGATTAGTTTAACTATCTGTAATGAAGGATAAAAGGTTAGCCTTTAAATGCAGTCTATCAATAGCTTGCCATGTTAACTCATTTTTCATTTCCAATACATTTTGCTCTTCAAAGTCCAATAATTTGGTGTCGCTGCTTTTCTCTCATACTTCAGGGATATTTTGGTTCTAATGAAATTATAATCAATGGATCCTCCTGCTTCTACCTGATGCACCGTACCAGTTAGTCATTCCCCTTTCTCTCGTACCACTGTAATGTATCCTCTCCTCCTTTCCAGGGGCTCTATAAGAATCACCTTACCTTTATTATCCTCAACATCGATCTAGTCTGCTGCTACAACAGTTAGCTCACATATCTTGGTCTTGCTGTGGATGTAACATTCTCTCTTATCATCTAAGTTTTGCCTGTTGTTTCAGTAGACCCTTTATCTTATAAACTTCCAATAAAACATCCTGATTTGACCAACTCTTAGTTTGTCAATTAGAGTACATTTTTCTTTTGACAAATACTTGTCCAATTCTGCAAATGTCTTCAGTATGTTCCTAGCAAAAATGTTATTCTTGTTCATTATTTCTTTGGGGGGGGGGGGAGGGAATGTTTTAAACCCTGTGTTCGTTTTCCCTCCGCCACCCACAATTAATTAAGCTATTAATTTCACCGCATCTCGGCACCTTCCCATTAACGTTTTTTTGAAATCATCAGTACACAGACGAGCTTGTTAGTTTGAATAAATAAATGCAATAAAATGAATAATAACAAGTCCATGCTGGGCTATTTAGTGTTTTGAACAAAAACTTCAAGAGACCGACCTGTGCTTTTTGTAAAGGTGCCATCCTACAGCATAATACTGCACTGCAATTGCGACATATCTCCAGAAATATATTTTTGTAATTGCTTGAACTGCCGTCTTCTGCAGGTTTCATTACCAGTGATAGTGTGGCCCCATCAATGATCAAGCCATAATCTTGTAAATCATTCTGAGAAAATCTAAAAAAAAGGACACCTGCATGACTGAGAAGAATTCAGGTACAGTATCCTTCATTGCATATTTGTTCCATTGGCAGGATATCTTTTTTCTTACAGTGCAACAAATACAGATTTTTCTTTACCAAAATATTTATTTGGATTAAGTATAAAGAGACAAACTGGCTTTGCTCTTGAGATGGACAGATCTAATGATGAATTATTTTAGAATGCTGAGCAATGTCTCACTTCAATATGAGGAGTTCCACATGAAAATCGGGTATTCAGATCAGAACCACTGAAGTGAACTACACCCATAATACCTTTCACTCTTGGGAAGTATTCTATGCTCCTCACCTGACCTCAGTCAGAGCACAAATGCAACTGGGCCCCATTAAGATTTTGTTGCAATGTAGAAAATAAAATTGAAATCCAAATCTTTCCAGTTGTAAACTTAAGTACCTGTTTTATGCTGGACAAATTATCTCGCATCACATTCCACATTTCAAATTATTATTGCAGTGACCATATCTGAATATATTGTCCTGAAATATTAATATCTGTATATAGTGACCATATCTGAATGCAGTGACCATATCTGAATATATTGTTCTGAAATATTCATATCTGAATATATTGTCCTGCTTTACCACTGTTTAAAAGCATATTTAGTTGGGGAAACAGAAACCAATAACATTCTTCCATGCTGTCCTATACAATTTGATTCAAGGTAAAAGGACACACCTCATTTGCTTAAGTGTTACATTGTTGCCCTGGGTAAAGTTTACCACAATTGAATGTAGAGAAAGACATGAACACTTTATGTCACAGATGTTCAGTTCCAAACAAAGGGATTATTAGTAGTAGAGTGAGCATGACGTATTTGGAGAAATGCATTGATAAGTTCACGCTGCAGTACAGATTCAGATTATGAAGTAAAGTGAAGATTTTGCTTGGAAATAAAACCTGCCTTTAACTAAAAGGAACCCACACTACATACTTAAAAAAAAATTCCCTCTAGCTTTGCTTGGAATAAAACATAAAGTAGCTGCATAACTACTACTCGGAAGTATAAGCAATAAGTAATAATATATCAAACTCTAATTGCACTGCAAGATCTTTACAACAACAAAATTAAATTTGTATCGTGCCTTCACGTTTGGAGGACGTCCCAAGGCACTGAGATGTTATAAGATTTACGAGATATTATCCTCCATGAAGGCTCTATGTAAATGCAAGCTGTTTTTGACTGATAAGTTGAAATACTCACCCTGATATACTGTCTCTTCGTAAGGTGCCACTGTGTCGGATTATGGTTTTGTTTAAATCAAAGAGCACATCATGTAAGCTCTGCTCTTCTATTCGCTTTGTGGTCAGCTCCAATAATTGTGTATTCCTCCTGAAAAGTTTGCAGGCATAGCATGTGGCTGCAGCAGTTTCCATCTTGTCTCCTGTCAACACCCAAACTTTCACCCCAGCCTTCTGCAAAGATTCAATAGTGTCTGCTGCTTTGTCTTGAAGTCTGAAAAATAAACACAGCAGAGGTTTAAAAAATATACCAAGCACAATAAAAAGATCCAAACAAACTCACTGACCTACTGAATTTATTGTGCTGTTTGAGACTATTATGATTCACACATTAGACAACTTTTCTGTTATGATTAGTAGTTATGTAGCTATTGGTGTAATAATACAAACACTAGCAGGAGAGAAACAAACACTATAAAATGGATGCATGCCAATGCCGGCCAGGAGATCTTATGGCCAAAAAGGGCATACAGTTACCCAAAGAATGAATGCACAACCAAGAAAATGGAGAGAAGAGACTGTGTACATGGCATATAATAGTTATTTTCTGGCACCTCCCTACCTCTCTGACCTCCTCACTCTCCAATCCACCACCCGACGCCTCCACTCGACTGGTACCGGCCTCCTGCTCGCCCCTCACACCCTCCGCCCCACCATCAGAGGTCGTGCTTTCAGCCAGTACACCCTGAAGCTCTGGAACACTCTTCCTCAATCCCTCCACCTTGCCTCCTCTCATCCCTTTTTTAAGTTCTGCCTGAAAACTCTCCTGTTTGACCGTGCTTACAGCCACCTGCCCCCACCCCACTGCTTGGAGTCAGGCTCCACAACTGATAAGAGCTCTGAGACGCTACCCTGCGTGGAAGGCGCTATATAAGTGCAAGTTGTTGTTGTTACATATAGACAAGAGGAGGATGAAAATCAGATAGCACAGAGATAGAGCAGAAGTTAAAAAAAAAACAATCTGGGTTGTTAGAATGACCCGAGAAACTAAAGGTCAGAAAGGAACACCAAGAAGAGAATTGCTGGAAGCAAGAATGTCAAGAGTTGTGAAGTGAGCCAGAAGATTGACAACAGAGGAGGCATTTGATAAAAAAGAGAGGTTAAGAGCTAGAAAAGCGTTGTTCATTGTAATCCTGTGAAGGTAAACTGTTTCCTTCACTCGCAATAAAAGATAAAGCTTCAGTCCTTTTTGATCAAGGTGTATACTCGATTCCATTGTAGACTTTATAATGTGATTTCCCCACAAATGTCTGTGGTCAATGTCACTACATTCAGCGAGGAGAGCAATTTCTTGTCCAAGATATTGAAATCTTATATCCATTCCCTTTCACACCATACCTTGCTTCCTGAGAATAGCAAATTGGTAGTGGCTGGTATTGCATCAAATCCCATCTTCACTTTTGACTGTGTGATGTTTCACATAACCACAGTTGAGTAGACATACCCAAGTGTTCATTTAGTTTCTTTAAATACCTTTCTACCCCTTTGAGAATTCAAATGAAACCTCTCGACTCAAAGTACTCCAACATACAGATGTACTTTGAGTTGAGAGATTTCAATTACACACCTCCATGTAATTCTAAATTGAATAAACAACTTAAGAGATACATAATTGATGCACACCTCTAAGTTGTCTATTCCACTTAGAATTAATGCACATTATCCTGCATATCCTAATTTTCCCCAACAATCTTCACATACGTATAATCATAATCCTTGCCTTTCATGTTGAAAAATCTCAAAGTAATTGAGTTTCTGAAAAGTGCCCGTGTCAAGACCTTCCTCTTTGCCCTCCACCTCTCTTGACTCCAACCCCTAGCTTGGGTGCAAACCTTTCACTGTTCAGCACCTTGGGATAACCCTCTCACACAGGAGGGAGAGAGCCACTAAACAAGTCAGATATCTGACACTTCATCCCATTTGCAATGTCTTTCATGTTGTGTAATAATTTGTTGGAGCAGATTCATTTAAAAATCAAGATTTTGAGTTAGCTTGCCCAACCTGTCTTCCACAGCTGTCGCTCCAATTAAATGCAGATCCCTTTCAACAATATCATAAGCTTCTGCAAGCTTCCTGTCGCGTTCCTGGAGGGCAAGTTTCGCGCTCTGTAGGAGTTTGTAAATACCATCATATTCTTCATGACTCAGAATTTTGTAAGCCACACACAGAGTCCGTAGTCCCTCCTGAAAATTATAAAACTGTATTAAAAAATGTTCAACTCTGAACAGTTAAGAACTTGAAAACAGCAGATTTATAAAGGTGTCAAATTACATTACAGGATTACTGTAGTGCAAAACATTTAAATGTTACAGGAACAATCTAGGTATAAATTATAAATTGCCCCAAGGTTGCAAAAAATTCTATTCAGGCACGTTACTTCTGATTGGAATAATAATAATAATAATCCTTGCATTTGATTTAGCACTTTTCACGTCAGGAGGACGTCCCAAAGCGCTTCACAGAACACACTGTAAAGTGAATTGACTGTATATTTGTGAGCGAACGTGGCAGCCAATTGTGCACAGCAATGTCCCACAAACAGTCGTAGATTGAAAATGACCAATTTATTATTGTTTTTTGTTTTGGAGGGATTATTATTAGGCTCTGTGTGGAGTAAGGAAACTTGCCCAAGGTTTCGCCCTGACTGGAATTGAACCCAGGTCTCTCGCTTGCAAAGCGAATGCTCTAACCACTGAGCTACAGGACTCCACTGAGCTACAGGAATGCCACATCTGTGAATACCAACATCATTCTGCATATTAAAAATTTGTTCAAAGCAAGTTTGGATTTTTACAGCAGTTTATTAAAATTGTCGCCAGCGACTTCACCCACTTGGCAACTTAGGACTAAAAGATCACTGATAAATTACAACTCTACTATTTCAAAATTGTTAAGTGCCTCTAAAGCATTGATTCAAGCTAATGTGATTTTATTGGTTGTTTGCCACACAAGCTGTTATTTAATACTGTAGAACAACAGACTGCTATTCTCAAGTAGTTGTGGAGTTGAGGTGCCTCTGGTTAGCATCTTTACTTATAAATAATTATAAATTTAATCAACTTTTATCATTAATAAAGTACGCTGCAAATAAAGAATGGACACCCAACATTAAAATTCAACAAAATGCTACAACACAACGGTACTCTAATATGCTTCAAACCTAGGATGGTGGACATAATGTTTAATACTGACACTCCGTTTTAATTTCAATTACATATTTATGTGACTGGAGGCAGGATGTTATTCGTATGCAAAAAGCAAACAAACGACATAGGTTTAATCCTTGAAACTTGGATATGGTTCCAGTGAGATCTTGATACATGAGGATACTGCACACGAAGAATGAGAAACATTCTACAATGTAGACAAATTTTTCTTCTTCTGGATCCTTTGCAATACAATCCGTAGAATGACAGTCCGGTCAGCCCAGACCACATACTTTTAGAAAAGACCTGCTAAACCACAAATATTGTAGTTCTGACTTATAAATCCATAATTGTGAAAATGCGTGAAGAAGCATCCATTGAGAAGCAGTTTGAAGCAATTTTCTTGATGAATGAACTTTCACTTAAGCTTATCTCTGAGTGATAAAAATATGAGAAGTATAGTCTGTGGCAACTTTTGCCAAATATAGGAGAAAAATGGAGGTGTGATTTGAACAAAGCATTATATGGAAGAGGGAAAGAGAGAACCATATACTGCATGACTACTATATGGTACAAAAAGGACAGCCTCAGTTTCCGTTTTCTGGCCAACTCATTTGTATTTGGAGACTCAATGAAGAATTACTATTGTGGCATGGCACATCACAAGAACACAACAGGCCCTGAGAAGTTGGCAACAATTTTGCATTTGTGATTTCTCACAGACAGTTTCCAGTCCCAGCTTTGCTATCAGGGGAAACGAGAAAATCAGAACCAGCTGCATCTCCACAAGAAGGGAAGTAACATCTGAGAGTCACCTTGGAACACTTCTGAACAGAGCAGTGATCAAAGCCTGGGAGCATTCACCTGCCTGTCAGTTCTCTGGTCTCAGAATACAAGACCTAAAAGGATAGGAGGAAAAATACAAATTTATATTTAAATATCCCTACAAACTAATACTTTGGGGAACTGCCATTACATTTCAGCATAATGTCATGAAATAGAACATTTTCATATACAGCTATTGCTAATTCTACTTCATAACAGTGAGTACTTAAAACGTATGGTGAAAATTCAACAGTATTAATAGTCTTCAAACGGTGGCTCGGACCTACCACTGCATTATGTTCTACTTGGGACTGGATTTGTTCCATCCTGCCTTCTGTCACTCTGGGGAAAATAGATGAATCTGCTCCTTTGCAGAAAAGGATTATCTCCCCTGTTTAACGAAAAAAGACAATGTTATGCAAATAGTTTGAAGGTACCTTGTCAAATTTGTATACACTGGCTCATGAGAATTCATCTGAGAAACATTAAGGTTTAGAACGTAGTGCTTGTTTCATTATAGTGAACAGAAAATGCCATGTGACATACCTGTACTTGATTTTACAATCACACTCATTCGTCGTCTGACAGAATCAAAACTCAAGATCTCAAGCAATTCAAACCTAAATAGAAAGAAAAAAGCAGCAAATTGGTTTCCTACATGTTGTAGAAAATACATCTGTGTAATTTTAATTGACATAGTGCTTCAAATTTATTTAAGACAGGAAACTCAAATCAGGAAATATTATGCAAATTCACTCCTGAGGGTGCACTTGAGCAGTTTTTCTCACTCACAAAGGCAGATTCCAGTGCACGTGTACATTAGTCTTTGCCCACAAAATATACAGCCAATTTCACTTTACAGTATATTCTGTGAAGCAATTTGGGATGCCTCGAAGAGGTGACAAGATGCTATATCAAATGCAAGGATTTTTATTATTCACTGGTCTAGACTACAAATAGTTTCATATATTTCATAGAGGGGCTAGATAATAGCCTCAGATAGCATTTTTTGACAACATACATTATTGAAAATACACCATTTCCCTTCTTAAAGTTCTTATTGAAACTATTTTTAACCAATTTATGAAGTAAATATTCTAACATAATGGGTATTGAAAGCATAATGGGTACTGAAAGCCACAAATAGCTGAGACTGCCAACCAAAAGTGTAGCAAAGCTTATACCTGGATTTAGAATGCTTTGTTTTGACTGAGATTAATTCTGAGACTATCTTCTAACTATCAGTTAACTGATCCAATGGGTACTTGCCTTTCAATTTCAGTCTCTCGATTCAAAATCTCCATGTAATTGTTCTTTAGTCGTAAGAATGTGAACCCGAGTCTGGAGAAATGAAAGTAAAAGTCACCCTGCAGTTAAAAGCAATACATTTCACCATTAAATAATTTAATGTTTAGTCAAATTTTATCTACTGAGAAATCCAAATATTGAGTAACTGGAACTGCACTAAGTGTACACCTCACTCAGGGAAGAGAAATTAGTAGGTCACCTTATTTGCAAAACATTTTAAAAAAATCTTTGTTCCATTGTCCAAATCACAGAATGTACATTAAAACAAGTTCAAACCAATAATTCTGGTACTAATGTATATCCCACTCCATGTTTAAGTGCCACTTCATTTAATACCTCTTTACGCCCTCCACCAGGGCTATTTCATCTGGAGAAGAGGAAATGTACACAGATGATCTCCCAGGTTGCTGCCGCAATTTTTTCTGATAATCTACTTGATCTTCTTCCTTAACCTGGACGGTATGGCAAAGGCAGAGAGCTCGGAAAAATAATTCCTCCCTTTCCTGAAATTAATGAAAACTGAATTCACCAACGTGTCACATAATTGAATAAATTATTCAAAAGAGATATCGTGTGAAAATCTCAAAAACATGTTGACTGAAGATTAAAGTGACCTTTTTTTTGGGGGGGTGGGGGAGGGGGAGCGCAGCCAGGTGTGTGACAAATGCAGAAACCCATCACTATGCTTAAAACACCAACAAGATTATATTTGTATAGCGCCTTTCACGTCGGGAGGACGTCCCAAGGAGCTGGATAATGTACAGCATTTCAGACCTGAGCTGGGGTCAGGGGGGGGAGAAGGGAGGGGAGGGGAGGTGACCGATGGCATGGTCGAAGAGGAGGGTTTTGAGGCGGGACTTGAAGGAGGCTAAGGAGGGGACGAGACAGAGTGACTGGGGGATGGAATTGCAGAGGTTGGGGGCAGAGTGGCTGAAGGCTCTCCCGCCAATGGTGGGGCGGGTGGATCGGGGCATGTGGAGCAGGCTGGAGCCGGCTAAGCGGAGGGAGCGGGTGGGTTGGTAGGAGGTTAGGAGGTCACAGAGGTAGGGTGGGGCGAGGCCATTGAGGGCTTTGTAGGTGAGGACCAGGATTTTGAACTGGATCCTCTTAAGGATAGGGAGCCAATGGAGTCGGGCAAGAATGGGGGAGATGGGGTCACGGATGTTGGTGCAGGGGAGGACACGGGCTGCAGAGTTCTAAAAGTATCCAAAGAAGTTTAAAAAAAAGTTTAAAAGTATCCAAACCAAACAAAGTACCATGCATCCTACCTATACATGGAATTTCTGAAGATATTTATTGAAATGGAATGCGCACTCTCACCATAGATGGACACATCCTGCTTTCCTAATTCCAGACAGTATTAGGCGCAGAATGGCAAGATCCCAGAGTGTGCACTGGGATACTGCTGGTGCCTAATCAGTTAAACCCATTTAGCTTGCCATTGAAAACACTGGGCTTGTTTATGTGAATTATGGACAAGTTTTAATGTACAAGTTCCTGAAAGAACTGTTCAGGAAAAACAATTATACCAAAAGTACTCATAAAATCTGATCTAGGATAGGAATTACCAATGAAAATAGTTTTGTTAGCTTTATATTCTTCAGTTTTACTCAGTTTCAGTTGCTTTGAGATTTGTTTTTTTTGTTAGAAATGTAATTAGTGCTTACTCAGCTCCCTTAGGAGAGCAAATTAATTAAACAGTCCCGTTGCTACAAATTATCCATAGCTATTTAAGTGGGCTTTATATCTTTTTCTCAATTCTTCATTTGTACTTTGCATCTTCGGGTACCTTGCACGAGAGGCAGAGAGGCTGCAAGAGGCTGGTTTACTCATACTGAACTGATTCTTGATTAAAAATACTAAAAATAATCGTTGCATTTGATATAGTGCCTTATCACACAGTCAAGACGTCTCAAAGCTCCTCACAGGATATACTGTAAAGTGTAGTGGATAGTCAAATCTTACTCATCAACACTGCCTACAAACACAAAGCAACTACACTTTATACAGAAAAATATGAAGCATCTTGACAGGTTAAGATGCTAAACAAATGAAGAAGTTTTTAAAAATCCATATTCGCACAAAATAATAATAATCCTTGCATTTGAATACCACTTTTCACGTCTTCTAGACTTCTCAAAGCGCTTCACAGAATAGACTGTAAAGTGAATTGACGGTATATTTGTGGGCGAAATGCAGCAGCCAATTGCGCACAGCAGTGTCCCACAAACAGTCGTGGATTGAAGTGACCAATTTATTATTGTTTCATTTTCTTGAGGGATTATTATCAGGTGTGTGGAGTAAGGAAACTTGCCCAAGGTTTCACCCCACTGGGAATCAAACCCAAGTCTCTCACTTGCAAAGCGAGTACTCTAACTACTGAGCTACAGGACTATTAAAAATATAAAATATTTTTATTTGCATTGTTTTCTGAAAATGAGAAACCTAAAGGCAGCTAAAATATGCAATAGGTCACTACTTGCTACACAGAAACTACACTTGCCATCAAAGGAAACACAACAGTCACAAACGGTTATTTTATAAGGTTACTAGAGAGCGAAAAATTAACACTCTGCTCCTATTAATTTTAAACCAGGTTTCTTACCATTTCAGCCATTCCAGACGGTGCATCAATGAGATCTATCCCAGAACTGCTAGAAAGGCTCTGCCCGTTGCATATCGAGTGTGAAACATAGACATGGCCATCTATACAGCACTCAATAAACTCCATGTTATTTTCTGTTAGGGTTCCTGTTTTATCTGTGAAGATATATTCTACCTACAATGGAAGCAAGCACACAAGTGATCACTCAGCTTACTCAATGTTGGAATTACAATACAGGAGGATGTCCCGACACAAATTAGATTAAATGCCTGGGTGTTTATGTTTGTTAAATTGATTACTGTCTTTGGTGGTTGTGATTCCACTCAGATTTAGAGCAACTTCCCAAAACACTCTCCTCAAATTTCAGAAGTCCTTGCGATTGCTTTCCATTCAGGTCTGAAACCAATCAGATCTGAAACAAATGTGATCCTCTGCTATTTATATTGAGACCTGCTCCAGAAAAACCCATACAAGCTGTTTACTACTTGGTTTAAACTCTAGCAGAGTCAGTTCAATTACCAGCCTAAATAAACAAAAAGGAAATAAAATACTTTTTATAAATTAAGAACTTTAAAATCAGAGTAAATAACTGCACCTTGTATCCTTAATTAGCCGTTGTAAGTGTGTGATTTTCATCGGGTAGAAACTGGGTAGGAAGCCAAGTGAATCAACTATTTTTTACAACTTCACACTGTCTTTTACAAACAGCACTAAAACTCCTGACCGATCAGAAGCAACTTCAACAGAGCGGGACCCCTTTACCCTGTGGAGAAGTTGAGTCTCAAAGAAAACCACAACCTAAGTATTCACTGCATGCACATTTGATAGCAGCTACAGGTGACAACTCAACAACAGCAACAATTTGCACTTCTATAGCGCCCTTCACAGGGGTAGCATCTCAGAGCTATTAGCAAGGATTTTTTTTTAAAAAATGATCTAAATGGGGCTGGTGTTGGCCTGAGGGCAAGCGGGGGGGGGGAGGGGAATGGGGTGGGGGTTCTATTAAAAATTCTATATTTTAACAGAAAATATGGAATGAGACTATTCTTTCCACTAACTCAAACCATAATCCTGATGCAAATTTTGTAAGTTCTCAAACAAAAAACGAATATGGATTAATTTTCAATTACCATCAAGCTTACAGCCTGAACACCATCAGGATTTGGAAATTCTCAGTTCATTCAGAAGGCAAAAGATAGACTTGGAGATATAAAGGAAATCAGCATTCAATGCTCCTAACAATCAATTCCCAATATCTAGGTTAGGGACACTTTTAAATCTCATTTTAATCACAACGTTACAGAGTAAGAGTGGCAAAGGCCATCTACCAGTGCCATAAAATGCGAGTGATGCATGGTTGCAATATAATAGAGTTTGCTGAATAGCCACTTTTGTAAATAAAAACTAGCTCGCGGTCATCAAAAACTGCAGCAAATTCAATCTTAAGGGTTTATTTTTAGCACCAGGGATGAGGTTTTACTACCATAACTAAATTAGTATTGAACATTCTCAACCTTGTTCCCACTGAAATCTTCCTGCTCTGGATAGATTACTTCTCACAGCTGTACGTCCAGTTTATTTCCCACAATGAGAATTTTTTCTTATACCCATCCATATAAAACAAATCGACCCATGGCTTTCACATAAGACTTAAATCAATGAAGTCCTAAACAAACAAACAAACAAACCTGGCCCAATTCTTCATTCAGGTCAGATGTATTCACTATTGGTCCTTCACCAATTTCTTCATCGTACATATCTTCATCCCAAGTAATGAAATAGGAACCAAGGAATTTTTGCATTTCCACAGTAACATACATAGACACTGGAATAATGTAGTTGAAGAGAACCATAAAGGCGAGAAAATCTGTAAATGTTTTCAAAAACTGCAAAGAAACACAGAAAGTGTTGTCAATCTAGGGTTATTCCTCAGCAAATCTTTAGAAATAATCTGAATCATGAGTACACAAAAACATTTAATTAAATTAAACTAAAAACAGTGACTGGACAATATGACTTGATTCACTTTGAGATGCTGATATACAAGTCTCTAAAAATATACAAGTTCTTTCTGTATCGGTTAGTGTCTTGTATTAACTTTATGCTGTGAAATCTGAATTTCTATTCAACTTTAGGATTAATGTGTCTTTAATACACTCTCCATAAACCACTCAGACATGCACACTACCTCCCTCAAAACCCTTCTGAAAGCCTAACTTTAGACTGCGCCTTTGGTCATATCCTTCCCATCTCCCTCATATCATTCCCATCTCCCTCCTATCCTTCCCATCTTCCACTTGGCTCCCATTCCAACTCTATAGTCTTCTGAGATTTAACTACCTGAAACTGCTATCAACTGCTTCACACCTTTCTACAAATAATACCAATTCTGAGAATCCTGAAAACTATCATTACTTTCACTAGCGTGCCAAGAACAATGTGGCTGTTTTGTTCTGATACAGAAAAGGATGAGAAATAGAGAGAAAAGGGAAAGTCAGAGAAAGTGAACGAGCGAGAAATAGAGGTGGGGCCGGTTACAATTAGTACAGATAAACATCTCTCTACTGAACCTGTTTTAATGCTGTGTGATCTCAAATATAGAAAGAAACCTTGGCTTCCATTCCACATCGAAAGTGGAAATGGAACAACATGTGTAAAAGATCAAATGACAGCTTTTCTGGATGAGAAAGGGTGGCACTCATTTTGGGTCATGTTAACCTATCAAATTATTCAATTAGTGTTGGATTTATGCGATAACAGGACTTCAATATGTAACAGGAAAAACATTACAATACATATTGCACAGATCAATTATAGCAATCTTTAATGCATTTATTATCTACACACTGCATAATCAAATGGCCATCCTCATTCAGTCCTTCCAGTTGTTAATTAATGCAAATATCCAATTAAGCAAACCTGAATCACTCTGTTTGCCAAATGACAACTGCACAGAATATCATTAAATAATTTTAGGTCAGCTTTTCGCATCGTAGGATCTTTTTAAGACAAAATATATTAATATGCCGTGCCTTACCTTGTTTTTTTGTCGATCTATATCAGTTTTCATGTTATACCAAGGCTCATCCCGGATAGTTTCACTTTGCCAGATGTATTTCAGGATTGTGTTTATTAAAGCTTTGCTGATCAGGATGCACAAGTACACAACTAGGAAAGCATTCATTGATCTAGCAAGCAAAATTAACCAGTTATACTCTGATGTACAATAATATGCAAAATGAATTCTATGTACAGTTTAACTGAACCTAGTGAGCCAACACGACATGCACAAGTGGCAGAAGCATATTGAAGACCCAAATTAATGATGAAATTTATCCTGTTAATTATTGCATTAGCAATAGGTTATGTTATATATGTACAATAATTCATCTTCATGGATGAAAGATAATTAGTAGTGTAAATTGATTAGTCAAATGAGAACCGCAGATGCTAAATACAAATTCAGAAAATAGTAATCTTCACACCGTCAAGATTACATCCAGATGTACTTCAGAAATTCAATACTTAAATATTTATTGCCAGCCTACTTAAATACATCCAATATTAAACTGACTCTACAAAATCCTAAGAAAGGACCCTCACCCCAATTTCTCTCACATTTCAGAACACCCATTCTTCCCATTATATCACTTGCTGTTCATTAAATAAGGCCAAAATCCTGGCCTATAATCCATGCCTCCTGGTAGCTCACCTCTGACTGTTGATTACCCTCTGAGTAAAGAAATGCTCCATTGTATGGTCTAAAACTTACTTCGCATCACAGAACCGGTGCCCTCATTACCTACTCAAGAGGCTATGGTGCTGTAGGGCACCAGGACAAGAATACGAAATTGGGATTAAGATGGAATGGCCTCGCACTAAAATACATTGTACACGTCTGTCATTCTATGGGTTAGATCTGAATTCTGATGACATTATGTCACAAACCAACTCGGAAATTATTTTTCCTCCTGTGCTACACTTACAACAACGACAACAAAATTACATTTATAGAGCGCCTTTCACGTCGAGAGGACGTCCCAAAGTGCTGAACAGTCAGATATTGGGGCCTGAGCATGAGGGAGAGGTGGTGTAGGGGTGAGGGAAGGCAAAGAGGTGGGAGGGAGACCAAAGGCAAGGTTGAAGAGAAGGGTCTTGAGATCGACCTTGAAGGAGACAAGGGAGGAAGCGAGGCAAAGGGACCATGGGATGGAGTTCCAGAGTATGGGGGCAGAGAGGCTGAAAGCCCGGCCACCAATGGTAGGGCGGTTTGGGTGAGAGATATTGAGCAGGCCGGAGCCTGATGAACGGAGAGAGCGGGCAGGTTGGTAGGGAGTCAGCAGGTCAGAGAGGTAGGAGGAGGCAAGGCCATCAATATTGCTAAGTCCACAGTCCACAAAGTTGGTAAGCATGAAGTATACACTTTAGCCTCTGGAATTCATGGATTGAGATTGGTTTAAGTGCCATAATGCAAATCACTCGACGACAATTGAAATACATATAGTTTGAGAAAGCCTGAAAACAGCACGTCAACAGCAATTTACAACTAAATGGACACACAAGAAAAAACATGTCATGCAATCTATAAGCAATAATACATTTTAAATTCCACACAAACAAGAACATGGATTAGTGATGGAATTTAAATACTTTTAAAAATAACTCCAGCTCAGGTACCAGTCTCAATGAGGTTAAAGTCATCAACATATAATTTGTGGCAAAAGTAGCCCAGAAATTCCACACAGAACACAACCTTACTTTTCCACAGCTGACCGTTTCTGTGCCTTGGATTGATAATTCAATGCCATCTTGGTTTCCATGCCTGTGTATATTGCCACACCTAAAAAAAGAGTGTAAATTGTTTGAAAAAAATTCCAAGCAGCTGAGAATCACAAAAACATGCTAATGCAAAACAAGCTGGAAAAATCAAAATATCAATTAACCATTTCCTGAAAATGGAAACGCAGACATCATTGCACGAGATCTTCAACATTAATAAAACTTAATTCAATTATCTCTAATTAAATCACTGACTTTTCACAAACACATGTTGTGAACAGTCAAGTTATTACAATGCAACAGAAACAAACTAAGCAGACCAGCAGCGGGCAGGATTCCCACTGCTGATTGCTTTCTCTTGCTGCAAAGTGAATGCTTGGAAATGTTGGAAAAGGACAAGACCATCTGGATTTGTACTTCACTACTGGTTAATTAAATAGGAGGATCAAACTTGGGACATTATTAATCTGTAAGCAGTTTCTCAAAGGGCACTGAGCCTGTGGTTGAGCAGTCCTGAGCCACACTTTCTCAAAAGTTTGCATTTGTTAAAGTACGTACAAGGCTAATGCACTTCACTATCTCTTGATTCACATTTTCTGTCTGGTTTCAAATGTCTTGGAAGAAATCTTGGTTCAAGACAATAAAAGTTTAAATTAAAGTCCTTTAAACACCAAAAAAGCCAAATTATGAGAAACTAACTCACAATTGTCTACTTAAGTTACATAAAGAGACAAGTACTGAAATTTCAGATTGAATAGAGAAGATTTTACCATAGATCTTTTCTGTATTTTTTAATGTAGCTCCTCTCAGTAGAACGTTTTCGGATCCTAAAGGCCTTTAAAATATTTTGAAAACGCAATAATTAAAATGCAAATCTTACAGGAGTTACACAAAAGCCGTTATTTAATAAACTCGTCTGAATACCAGAACATACATATTCTACAATAGTTTTCTTTTTCACAACTGAAAGAGCAAGCCTTTCTAGCAATGCTCCTGAAGGAATATCCTGCAGAAACACAACAGGAATCAAAACATGATCAAATAGAAAAAGCACAGTATAAATGGCATGAGCATCAGAAATGAATGAAGAAAAAATATGCAAGGTTAAATAAATCAGAAAAAAATTGCAACCATTCGTATTTCAATTTTAACACCAGATTAAAGTATGAAATTATATATCAAGAATTGTATTTAGCTATTTCAGATAGAAAACACAAGGTTCATTTACCTTACAATGGGTTCCTCTGTCTCATGGTAAATATTTATTCGGCCAACAAACCTGCAGGTAAACAAACACAACATCTACCTTAGCAGCATTTATGTATAAAATTCTGCAAGCTCACCATCTTCCAAAGGGAATTCATATATTTGTGTATCCTAAGCGACAATTAAAACATGCCAGAGAAAGAGGAATAAAACTGATTTGCTTAGATTGTTCTTTCAGGATAGATAACAATAATATGGGAGGTAGCATCACACAGATATGATAGGCCAAATTGATTCGTCCTGTGCTGTGAATTCTTATGATTCTATAAGGTGTATCTCAATATATTTTGAAATAACATTGCAGTAATCTGATGACCCAGTAGTTGGCCTTTTTTTAGCTAACACCTGCGTGCATCTGCAGTGAATGCAGAAGTGCTGAGAGGCAAATGTTCCCCAGTATAGGTTGGGATTTTATGGACCCCCAACAACCACATTATAACAGGATTCCACTGTATTTTAAGAGAATTAGATACATTCTTGAAATAAGATAAATATGAAAGGGTACGGGAGCAAGAAGGAGTGTGGGTCTAAATTAGATAGCTCGGGTGGAGAAACTATTTGTGTATAATTCATGGGCCAAATGGCCTGTTTGGATTGTAATATCCTGTCAGCTCTCAGAGCTACCCATCAAAATGCATGAACTGGAAACTAAGGTAATATTGATTTGATTTCCTTTGTGACTTACAGCATGAATTGAACAGTTCTTATTTATACACAAGTAAACCAAGGTCCATCATTTCTCCTTTCACTACACTACACACAGGGGAGGAATCAGCAGTGCTGTAATTATAAAAAATTAAAGCAAACAGAAATAAACCAAATCCAGTTTGACATTTTAGTTAGAAGCTCCAGCCTCCAAAATTAGTATTTTTTATTCTCATTTTCCCATGATTGAACTACATGGATGGGTGGGTGTGGAGAAGGGGAGGGGAGGCTCAAAAGAGAATGAGGAGAAGGAAGATTTTTTTTAATATTTAAGAATACAACAGTCAACTCAAGTAGATGATTATTTCAATATTTCAATATCATGCACATACCCAATTTTCCATTCCTCACTTGAATGTTCTTTGATAATTTGAAATTGCTAAACAAATGAAATTCTACACCTCTACTCGCAATTCTAGGTTGAGATCTGATATCAATACTGAACCTTACTTGTAAAGATCAGGTTGAGGTTGTTCACATTCAATTGTAGCATTCAATGAGTCTATTTCTTCTTCAGTGTGATACGCCTTTGTGTCTTGAGCAGCATAGTATGTCTAAACAGGAATAAAGTGAAAATCTAAAAATGGCTATAGCTTTGGAATTAAACAGATGAAAGGGCTCACCCTGTAATGCACTATTCATATAAAGCTCTACTTATTAATACGCTGCTAAATTCTGGCTAAGTGCAATGTTCCACTCAATAAATCAGATGAGCGAGAATTAGACTTTGTTCTGACGCCCTGCCCTCCCTTGTCTTCCACTATGAAAAGCCTGTCAATACTCAATGTAGAACCATATTTGCAAACCAGTTTTGTTGTGGCAATTGCAATTTCTCGTTTGGGAAATACACAATGAAACTCATAGCTGCAAATTACAAATCTTAGTCCACCGTTTTTGTGTAAAAAAAAGCCACAAGCCAAGTGTCAATGGGAAACAGACAGCTGTTTTCTAAACAGTTTTTATAAGATTTTCCTGATAGGATATGACCAATTGAAATAAAATGTGTGCATTTTTATATCTGAAGCATTGCTCTCTCATGAAAAAGTACAATGTTTTAAATTTCTGAAGGAAATTGGCATGTTGTGCTGGATCAATTGTCCTCACTGAAACCAATTCACCACACTAAATGCATGATTTATTTGGCACTTCTCTACCTTTGTACTTGACTCTCCATCCAAGCTGGCAGTGGTAACAAAGCAGGTCCCTTCGATCCTGCTCGAAGATAAGAATATCATGTCACAGGGAAAGCTTTCATCTTCTTTTACCATCACAACGTCTCCAACCTGAAAAAAAATCAAAATATTGTAAAGGGAATGGGGTTTAGTCAAACGCAACTACACAAACACACTATAAAAATTCAGAGGAATTAATGAAGTTTGATTCATTGTAGCTGAAAAGAGAAACGTTATTATCATTATAGAACGCTGCTTTCAATAAACAAAAGTGGTGTCCTGTAGCTCAGTGGTTAGAGCACTCGCCTTGCAAGCAAGACATCTGGGTTCAATTCCACGCAGGGCGAAACCTTGGGCAAGTTTCCTTACTCCACACAGAGCCTAATAATAATCCCTCCAAAAAAACAAAAAACAATAATTAAATTGGTCATTTTCAATCTACGACTGTTTGTGGGACATTGCTGTGCGCAATTGGATGCTGCGTTCGCCCACAAATATATTTATTCATTTATTCATTTATTTATTTTACAGTCTATTCTATGAAGCGCTTTGAGACGTCGAGAAGATGTGAAAAGCGCTATATCAAATGCAAGGATTATTAATATTAAATAAAAATGGGAGGGATAAGGGAGGCTCTTGATAAAAATATGAATTTCACTTGATGTCCTACATAAAATGAAGGACTCAGAAGAGAATAAATATTGCAGCTTCACCAATAACCAATGATGCAAATAAAGTGTTTTAACTCCCAGGCCACTCTTTCACCTTAACTATTGAACTGAACGTTCAGCAGTAATTTTTAATTCTGTGACAATATCATAAATACTATGGATCTGAGATTCCCTTGGTTATGTTTTTCCTCCTGACACCAATACATAAACAATAGTGGGTCTGGTAGCGAATGTCATCTGACATTCTACTCTTAATGATATGATAGTTTACGGGAAAAACAAAATGGAGGAAGTTGTTGCTTTACTGATACGATATACACAATTTGCTCTTGTGTGGAATAAAAAGCTGAAAATTCTGATTTCTCCCCATTGCCGTGGGATATCCTACCAAAGTGAAAGGCACTATATAAATGTAAATTTGTATTTTTTTTAAATCTAAAGGCTGTGTTGTAATTATTGCTGCATAAAATTGGGCTGGTGCCCTGGAATAATGAGGGAAAGGTCGGTCAAATTTTTGCTACTGATCCCTATTCACCAATCCTGCGGCAGAGCATCTATGTCAGGCAACCATTCGAACAATTGGACTCAGGTGCAGAATGTACATTGACAGGGAGCTATACAAGAGGAAATGCTGTAAAACAAGAGAAAGTGTTTAAACAGATGGCAAAGTAAACTCAGCTAGAGAAAGGGGCGAAAAATACAATATAGCAGTGAAATAAAAATAGAAAATTAAGTTGGAGTCACTTTATTGCTTGAGCTATCATACCAAGGTCAAGTACAGTCTGTAATTACACAGCTACTGAGGATTTGTTGTTGTGAGCAACACGTACCCGCAATTTTCTACTTTGTTTTCGAACTATTTTGCCATGCTGGATTACATGAACGGGACATTTGTTCACCGCATTATCTGCCTTATGTCGGAGCCAGTCTTCATAACCCTGCAGAGAAAGGATATTTAGTACCCTTCAGAAATAAAGTTGTGAATATATTTTGTTTGTAAGTCTATAAGGTTCACAGCAGAATTATACTAGCTGATAAAAAAATACAAATAAATGAATTTGTTCCTTGGTTAAAATTTGTTAAGTAGGTATCAATTAATTAATTCAGAATTTCAGTCATACGATACATAATGGGAAACTCCATTTATTCAATTTTGAGAAATTTCCTTCCCAATATAACATCCCTGTAGGTCATAAGTTAACACTACTACGTTTTATGCAGAGTTGTGGCCAAAGTTGACAGTGACAAAAATGCTGCATTAAATAGACCGGGAAAAGGATGCATGACATTCCCCGTTACTGAAACTGATACATCACTGTGCCTTGCTGGAGGAACAGAGCACCAACACAGCCTAAACTGGACCGAGCTGCAGGTTTCGAAAGGCAACTCCCTCATAATATTAATAAATTTCATACTCTCTTTTAAAGAGTTAATGTTTCGCTCCAAATCTACTGCTCACAACCCAAATATTTTTCAATCACTGTCGATTTTTTATCTGACCATTAACAGGAGACCCTTCTGTGATGAGCAAATTCCGATGCCTGCTTTGTTTCAGTTAAAGGGTATGGCAAAAGGATGGGCTTTGGAATTAAAAGATCTGCCAAGATTTAGTAAACTGGTGGAGCAGACCCAATGAGCTGAATGGCCACCCCCTGTGGCAGGAATCAAAGCTTTAAGCAATGTTTTCTGAATACGTTTTGAAGAGCTAGTGCATTTTTTAGATTATATAATCTGTGTGACTATATATGTGTCGGAAAGAAATTCTTTAATTTAATACACTGGAACATAACATGATCCTACCGTGTTTATATGCAACACTTAATACACTTGTGTTCATGCATGGTAAATACAAAACTTCTTTGCTGCAATTCTACCTTAGAGAAACATATACACATCCTCAATGAGCTGAAGGCCTACAGTTTTCTTATGTTCCAATGTATTAAACCAAATAATTTCTTACAGATACAATTTCACTGCTGTTCACAATTGGCTGCCGTGTTTCACCCACAAAAATATACAAATTCATTTTACAGTATATTCTGTGAAGTACTTTAAGATGTCCCGAAGACATGATAAGGCGTTATATCAAATGCAAGGATTATTATTTTATATAGTTACACAGATTATATAATATAAAAAAATGCATAAGCTCTTTAAAACTAATTCACATTGTTTAAAGGCTTAAATTCCTGCCACAGCCTTATACACAGTATGCTATAAAGGTTTGTCCTTTAAGCAGGCTTTTTCATAAAACTATTTAGCCATTCACTTCTAAAGGCTGGAACAAATGTTGGACCATCTTGTCATGTGGTTTTCACAAGCATATTTCTCAGTAATTCTTTACAACATATACCCTGCTACATCTATTCATTTGGCTGACACTTATACAGAGTTGTAGAGAAAGCCTGCATCTGCTCTTTTCAAAGAGCTGGCACAGACTCGATGGACCAAATGGCCTCTTTTTGTGCTGTACGATTCTATGATTCTATGAATTTGTCTTTTTATCCAAATCAAAATCATGCATTAATGTTGTTTACCAGTCATTGTAGACATCCAAGCTAAATTGCTGCAAATGTAGGATTGCAAGATTGATTGTGCTATTGAGGTTTTATCAAATTTTACTATGTGCACCTCAACTCTGCAAACACTGTAAGTACATCAGTTATTTTAGTATGCTAAATGTAATTGATATTCACATAAACACTTTGGGTCGATAAAATCACCCCTTATTAATAATCCCACTTTCTGGGAAAACAATATTCTATGTTCCAATCCTGAAAAGTGGGATTAATGATATGCAGTGACCTACAAAACAGGAGGCAGTGGCACAGACACAATGGGCAAAAGGCCTTCTTCTGTGTTGAAAACTCATATGCCTGGCTCTTATAAAAAAAACTAAAAATGGATCAGTGCAATTTATTTGCAGGGATTGGAATTTTCTGCTGAAGGGATATGGGATTAAAGCAGAGCGATAGGATCCAATGAACAGCATGCTCCGAGAGCCAGTGCAGAGTCGAAAGGCTGAATTTCCTTCTTCTGTTCTTTCTGTTATTCTATGATTCATGTTTAACAGCATCCAGAAAAAAGTAAGGGTTCCATTTTACAGTGAGATCAAAACAGCACTATTTCAGGTGGTATTCATATAGAATTTATATAGAATGATGGCACTGTATTACCCTCTCCTAATCCTGCTATTCCGTTCTCCTTCATGTATGTATGTATGTATGTATGTATGGATGGATGTATGGATGGATGGATGGATGGATGGATGGATGGATGGATGGATGGATGTATCAAATTTCCTCTTAAATACATAGATACTTTTTGTTTTAACCCAGCTTGCAGCAGCTGGTTCTGTATTCTCACCACCCTCTGTGTAAGAGTTGCTCCTAAACTCACTTTTAGGTCTGTTGCCTGCTAATAACACTAAAATCCAGTTCCAGATAATCATATTTCAACAATTTGTAGGATTGGGTTGTGAGCAGTGACTAGCGGGCATCAAATTAAAATAATTAGTAAGGGAGCAGAGGAGGAGATTAGGAGAAATTATTTTACTGAGAGTTGTTAGGACCAGGAATGTGGGCTGTTTTTGCCAAATTTATCAAGAGGAAACTATATATATATATATATATTTATACATATATAAAATATATAATATATATAAAATAATTCACAGGTATATGAGGAAAAAGATAAATGGGACTGAATGGTAAATGATAAAAAGGTAAATCAGCCATGATCTTATTGAATGGCAGACCAGGCTCAAAGGGTTGAATGACCTATTCCTGTGCCTATGTTCTTATGAATGGATTGCTCCTTCAAAATGCCATCAGAGACTTGATCGGATGAAGGCCTTCTTCCATGCTGTTTAATTTCTATTTTTCTATGAACTTTGCCAGTCAACAACAACTTGCACTTATATGAAACGACCCTCTCTCAGATAGAGAGCAAGGATCTTGATACACAAAGAGATTATATAATCCTTTTATTTCATGAAACACAAATCCGAGAAATTAGATTCATTAATTAAGGAATTAAATTTGATTTTGAAATAAATATTTCACTTCACTTAAATCCACATAGCTTTCAGGTCATTGCAAATGCATACATGATTTTTTTAAAAAAGCACACAGTACTGAGAGGCTCAATAAACTGGAGAGATGCAATATTTTCAATTTAGTGGCCAAACAATTACATTAATGTCAAACTAAAATAATCAGATTGAGCAATAATATTTCTTTCTGAATTATTTAGCATTGAACCTAAAATCCAGAAACTGATGTCATGGAGCACATTATACTGATTAAATATCTTATTTCAATGTGTGGGATAGTAAGAATTGAGTTATTTTTAAAATAGACTTTTTCCTGAGGCCACCTGGATTATCCAATGCGTATTTACCATCCCCCAATTCATTTATGCAAAAAATACTTGTTTTAGTTGAAGTAGTTGAAATCAGAAGCCAGCTATTGCAGAAATAAAAAATATTTGTGACTTCTGTTGCGTTTACCTTATTATACGAATGAGTGTTAAATTTATAGGGAGTGGATTTGGAGGAGAAATCTAACAGTCTTAATCGAGACATAAATCTGATAATAAAAGAAATTAATTAATTCTCTATCCAAAGGCATCACTGTAATTCGGTCAATTTTAAATTGTGCATCATACATCGCGCCAGTTAGAAGATAGTAGATCGTGAAGGCACGGTCAGTAATGGGTGACCCCTAAATTTGACCCACAGTTCTTATAGCATGTCTTTGTGGAACAGTCGGGGGCCTATCAGTTTCCAATTGATTGGAAAGGAGAAGATTGCAGCATTAAGGTACCAATATTCAGATTATCACCTTTTTCTCTCCCCCGCCCCCACCACCTAGACAAGCAAGTAGACCAGCCAATTGACAGTAAATATGCATTAGCTTCCATTAGATAGCAATCGTGCAATTAACTCTCAAGATGATCCATGAGAAGCCAAGCCATATTAGCTCACATTCTTCTAAAGACACATCTTAGGTAATGGCAGCTATCCAAGTGTGGAGAAGAGGAGGATGGTAACACGCTGGAGTCATGAGTAACAGCGTTCCATCTGGAGTATCCAGACAGAGGATTTATTAAAATGTGCACATATCTTACTGATGACTTTTAAAAAAGAAACATGGGAATACCTGAAATGACAGATGTAAAGCGGAGCGTTCCACCAGAATGGATACGTCTCCAATAAGTCATCTGTGCGTGACTTGAGAAAATGTGCTGTCAAAATGGATCTGCAGAAGTTGTGTTTTACTAGACACTTAAGCAATCCAAAGCTATGATAATGTTTAGTAACATCCGATCTGAAGATACAAGATAACAGCAAGGACAACTCTATGAGTGGTACACCTATTGTAAAGACAATAGTCAGTTAATCTTTATAATCGGGTGTCAAACAAGTTGAAAATTCAGCCGCATTTTATAAAATGAGAAAAAGTCTTTATAACCACTTCTGAAAAATTATCCAACCAGAAAACAAAAGACATCCACCCCCTTTGCTATCTTATATAATGGAGCCTTGTCACAACGTGGTGATTGGGTTCCATAAAATCCTTATAATGAAGCCACAACCGCCAGTTTCACTGGGTGTGCTTGTGCGGGCTGGCCACAGTGCTAAATTGGCTGACTTCCAGGTCCCCACCCTATTACTTCGTGGGTACTGCACATGCACAGGAAATTACATCAGTGGTCACCTGATAATCTGATTTATCATTTTTATAGCAGCGCGAGGTTAAACGAGAAGCTAAAATGGCTAACTTCTGGGTCATTAGGTCACCACTGATATAACTCTGCTGTGTTGTGCATGCACAAGAATTGCTATCACCAGCGACCTAATGACCCAGCAATTGGCTGTCTTAGCACGAGAGCCAGTCAGTGAACAGGCCAGCTGTGTGCTTAGAGTGACTCCTCCTTACATTATATCCTGTGAAACATTTTTCCACTTCCAGTTTAGTTTCTGGGAAAGTATAGCATCAATAAATGTAAAGCTCCCTTTACTCAAGCCCAAACCTCAGTAGGGCAATGTGCAATGTGACATTTGCCATTTCTTTTACGAGTTATCCTGTAGCCACTCTGACTGAGATTTAATGCTGAATTAAAGGCAGTTTATTGCTGTGAACCCCATCCACTGGGGCTCTAAACTTAATTTACATAGTACAAATTCAGAAAGGGAGTGCTGTGTTTGCTGGTCTGGTTAAACATATGGGAAAGACCAATTTGTAATCTAATACAGCACCCAGCCACTTTCCCTTCATGAAAATTAATTTCTTCCACATCACAATGCTTTTCATACTACATAGGCCTGCTCACAATGTATCAGACCCCCACACAGCTGTACAAGGTATTACAACAAAAAAGTACTACAACATTTGACAGAATAACCAATACTTACAAAGAAATGCACCGTTTAGATCAGATTTAAAACTAGCAAGATTACAAACTGTAAATGCAGACACACAAACCTGCTTCAAATTTATTATTTAAATATCCATAAACTATTTAAGCTTTGTTATTCTTAAAGATGTATGTCAAATACACAATTATATTTCACACAATGTACGACTGCAAATTCTAGCCTGTCAATAGATGATTGTTTTCTAAGCATTAATTAATACTGTTAAAATTAATCAATTGGAATGAATATTCAGAATATTAATTCAGCCCAAAGGAATTTACAAGCTAATTTAATGAGTTTTTAACAGTATCCTAACTATAATTGCAAAATCATAACTTTTTTTGTTTGATAATCAACATATATACTTACACAAACCAAATAAGTCATTGCAAAACTAGGTTCATATAGTTGTCCACTTAATAGTTATCATTTAAAAAAGATGCACGCACAGGAACTGATGTTAGAGGAGCTACCTGCTTATATATTGTGTGTGCAGTGCATAGGAAGCAACATCCTTGGTGACCCAACAACCTTCAAATCCCTCCAAACGTGGCTATTTTTGTAATAAAAATAATAATCCTTGCACTGGATATAGTGCCTAATCAAAGAACTTCACAGGATGTATCTTAAAGTGGTGTGACTGTGTATTTTGAATACTGTGTGTTACTATTTTGTGTTTTGGATTTCAAAAGATTAAACAAAAAATTAAAATCAATTGGAATTCACTTTCCTTAATTTGAAGAAATTTGAAAAAAAACACAACAGAAACAGATTTTATGAGAACATCCCATAAGACAATAACATTCCCTTCAGCTAAAAGAATTTATTTCCAAACGTAGACTAAATATCGGACTTCCCACCTGCTTGATTGCTGTTACGGTGATGACAAAGAAAAGAGGAAGCCCACTGGTTATTGGGCTGGTTGGAGTGTCAATGATCAACTGGAAAAAGAGGAAAAAAAGGTTTATCCATTTGTAAAGCAGCTTCATATTTGAAGTTACTTTTGATAAGAATATATAACCATATCTGAAAAATATCTGGCATATTTGAAGCATTTACTGAACAAACGTCAATGTAGAATTTGTTAAAAAAATCCTAGTTCTGAAATAATTTTTTATAAATTGTATCAAAGAACCATTGAATATTGCTAAGGCAGAATATAGCATATCATCACGTCATACCTGTACAAGGAATATGATAAGAAAATAGAAGTTAGCAATTCTTCTGAATTGTTCGAACAGGTTCTTGGGAATGAAGTTCCAGAAAGTATACTATAAAAAAGAAAAACAAGTAAATAGATGAAAAATCTAAAGCCCTGATTTTAAGAATCAAATAGTTAGATGTACAATGCATTATAAAACCATATTCTCCCAACAGGTAAATCAAAAATAAAGAGTGGGTTTCCTTTAAGAGGCTAAATTTGCAATCAATTATATTTTAACAACTTACTAACTAAACACTGAAATCTTCTTAGTGCAACCCTACAGATAGCTTCAGCATATATATTCAACACTAAGAATAATGCTATTCTTGGGTAGAAAACAAGTTATCATACATTACACTTGCACCACTTAATTACTGCAAATACTACAAATCTTTTTCATCTCCAAATAACAATCTGCTCCAAATCTTAGTAAAAGATAGTACACTCTCGATCTAGGATTGAGCCTAACCATGAATTTCAGAACCATTCAGTTAAATTCAATATTGATCCCGATTTGAGACCATATCTGCTGAAGTAATCAGAAGTCAAAAGCTCCATCAAGTGAGAATATAAAAGAAATTCAGATAAGGTAGCCCTTCAGCCCATAGATCCTTGTTCTCACTTTCAAATCCTTTCACTGTCTTGCCTACCCTACCTTTGTGGCATCCTTCAACCCTACCAACCCAACTGCTGCCTGCACTACGCAAGCATCAACCCGTTTCATGTCCCCCTCCTTGTCACCCCACCCTTGGTAGGCAAGCTTTAACCATTCTAACGCACTCTCTGGAACTCCATCCCAGAGTCCCTCTGACTCCCTCCCTCACCTCATTCCAACAACAACAAGAATACATTTGTATAGCGCCTTTCATGTCGGGAGGATGTCCCAAAACCCTGGACAGTGTACAGCATTTTAGACCCGAGCTGTGGTCGGGGGGGGGGAAGGGAGGGGAAGTGGGGTGACCAACGGCAAGTCAGTTTCAAGAGGTACCTCTCTGACTCCACTTTCGGTTGTCTTTCCCCCTTTCAACTTCCACCCCCAGCAGTATTAATATATCAACATATCCTCCTCCTGACCTTTATAAATATAAAAGGCACTATATAAATATAAATTGTGTTGTATTTAAGAACACACAACTAGCATTACTTCACATGATTTGAGTTAATGGGTGGTGGGGGGGGTGAATGGTACAATTAAGATTTATCGCATCAAATGTTTCTGCTTTGCATTTGTCAGGGATCCACATTAACATTCCTATATGGGTGAAAGTAAGATCTTTACCTTTGAAGACACAATTCTGTTGTCAGGATATCTTTGAGGTATGTAAGCATCAGTGCCTTGAGGGGGCTCACGATGTCCAATATAAACTGTGCGATTATCCACCCAGTTCTCTTCACCAGAACACTGAAAGCAAATGGAAAATAAATGTAGTCAGCAACATCAAATAAAACAACAACTTGCATTTATATAGCGGCATTCGCACAGGGCAGGGTCTTGGGGGTGCTTAAATACAAGATTGGTGAAGAGATTACTCAACACGTTATAACTTTTTAAATGTCAGAATTTAGAAGTTGCCCTACATCAAGACTTTAAACTCATATTGTCTTGGCTGACACTCCAGTGCAATGCTGGAAGTGTGCTACATTGCTATCGGTGCCCTCCTTCAGATGAGACTTTAAAACCATCTGCCCGTTCAAGTGGATGTTAAAAAAAATGCCAGACACAATTCAAAAAGAGAAAGGAATATCTTCCGGGATCCTGGCCAACAATATCCCAAATAAAATTGGTCATTTGCTTCATGGTCATTTGACGGATTTTACTGTGCACAAATTGGTTGCCCCGTTAGACTACAAATAAACGATCAGTATACTTTACAGTAAATCATGTGAAGTGCTTTCAGATGTCCTTCCAACATGAAAGGCACTATATCAAATGCAAGGTTCATTTTAAATTTTGTTACTATAGTATGAAACACTAATGATAATTAAACATCCTGACTTTTAGCAACCATTTGACACTCGTCTGACTGAATATCCTTAGCCGAATATGAGGAAGAGAAAATCAACCCGGATTTTTGGCCCTAAATGCTAACAATGACACCTGCTCAGAAAGTATTTTTAGGTCAGCCAGGTGTCTGACATGGACAAAAATACAAATGTGAATGCCAGACGGGGACAGGATTGGGCTCAGCTGCAAAATCCTCCATGTTCAAACAGCCTGCCTACACTCACCACTCTGGTTCACATATTAAGAAGCCTCACAAACCAGACTTTGAACTCATTCGGGGGTGGGAGGAAAAGAGAGGAAGAACAGAGAAACCCTACATTGTCAGAGGTGCCGTGTTTCGCATTTGAAGTTAAACCAACATCCCACCTACCAGTTTCAAGTGGACATTAAAGATCTCATGACAATATTCATAGACAGAAGGGAGATTCCCTTGGTATCGTGGCCAACAATTCATATTTAAAAATAAATCAAGTGAATGAGTTGAAAATAAACTACAAATGTTGATTCCCATTATTCAATGCAATTTCAGTGCTTGCCGGTACGTGTGCATGTGGCAATGGGTCAAGACGCATTGAACTGCGAGAAATGTAGTTTTGACCTATCATCGCATGCACATTTACGGGCTGCATTGAATTATGCATGCACAGTGTAGATTGTTGATTAACTCAGACTTTAAATGCCTTATATTGTTTATCTACAACTTGAATTTCATGCAAATCATATTAAATCCTATGGTCCCAACTGATATGACTTACATGAGTTTTACTGTATAAGACACTATACCAAATGCAAAGATTACTATGAAAATGGAGAAAGATCTTTGGAGCCGCATCTATGAATCTACGCCTCAGCAATTTGTAGGAGAAAAGGAGAGCAAATGAGCAAAGATAAGCTTATTTCCCATTCTCTTCACCCCTCCTACATCTTTTCACTCTATTTGATACATTTAGCAGCATTAAATACAGCCACAAAACAGGGTGTAATGGTATAGGGACTTGCGTCTTTTCATTGAATCCTTCCAAGATTATTTTGTGCTTAACTGAAGTGTTATTTCGATAGAATCCCTTCATCATCTTTGGAAGTTATGTTTACTGCTCAGTACAAAGGAAATAAGCTGCCAGTTTCTGGGAATAATAATTAGTTTAAATTACTGCATCTATTCACCTCAAATTTAATTTAGATAATTCACTGCTTCTGAAAGACCAGACAGAACCTACTCAAGTTCTCTCTCATTGCTATTACACAGCAAATAACATTCTCGTGATGATGGATCTGGAACTCAATTACAGTACCACAGCCATGACTTTGGGACTGCTCACAATGTCCTAAACCAAGACTTGCCTTCCCCTCTGCCACATTGTTCATCTCTGCCCCATCTCACACCAAATGCCACTGAAACACTTATTGATGCCCTTCTTAACAACCGGCTAAGCTTTTCACAACGCACTCCTCGTTGGTTTCCCTAGTTCTACCATTCATAAACTCAAACTTATCCAAAACTCCATAGCCAGCATCCTCACGAACACCAACTCAGTAAGCTCAATATCCCAGCCCTTGTCAAGCTTTATTGGTCCCCAGTTCCCTGTGGATAAGTTTCAAGGGCCTCACCTTCACCTATAAATCCCTTCAAACCCTAGATTCTCCCCATTTCTGATTTGTTCCTACCTCACTCCTCTGTTTAATCCTTGCATTTGATATAGCGCTTGCTCAGCAAGCTCGGGGTTGCTGCGCATCCTTCTGCTCTTCCCAACACCACCTTCAGTGACCAAGCATTCAGATTCTCTTCCTTCTCACCTCCTCTCTGACTTTGTCAAACCTCAATTACATGCCTCTTCAATCACTCTTGCGGTCATCACCCCTCCCCCCCACCAACTTGCTCAATATCTGACGCCTTCTTTGTAAATGTCTCTGAGATGTTGTCCTACGTGAAGGGTGCTGTATAAATTGAGGAAATTACTCAAAACATATGACAAACAGAGGAATCATCTTATCAGTGCTAGTACTTGGAAGAATTGGGAAAACTTTAAGGTTTGACTGTATTTGTAAGCATTCAAACATTATCACAGAAACATTTAGCCTGTATGTTGAAGCCTCACAATACACAGAACTCAGCAGATAGGATGGAGAGGCCGAGAAGTAAATTCATTTTCTCTCACCCAATGCTATTCAATATTCACACACTAAGGTAGGTTTCTGTGGCACTTAGTTTTCAAATGAAATTCCTGTTTAAATCAAGAAACAGCTGTTTATATTTTACTTAAGCTGGGTAACTTGTGATTAAGACATAAATCATGAAACATGTTCTACATTCTGTGTGAAGAACCGAACTGCTCCCAAGAAACAACTGTGTTTTAGTGTCTGCATCACCTTGACATGCCAAAAAAAAATCTCATTGACATTTAACCTCAGTCAAATGTGTTCATTTTACAGAGCAGGCCTAGTATGTTGTTTATGTTAAAATCTAATATAATAATCCAGGACTGGCATTTTGAATCTGCAGAGCCAAATTAAGGGCACTTACACTCCATTTAGCATAACAACTATTTGGTTTTCACGTGCTCACTACAGAGTTTACACAGTTAATTTGACATCAAATGCAAAAGACAACAAATTACATGCACCACACAGTCGAAGGAGGGAATTCAATTGTAGTTACTAATGGGGGCATGATAGTTTGCATCCATACAGAGGTAAACTGCTACAGACATAGAAATGTGGAACTAATCTGAAGGTTTATCTCATTTACAGCACCGCAATCTACTCTAAATACTATGCTTAAGAGTCCTGTAGCTCAGTGGTTAGGGCACTCGACTTGAAAGTGAGAGACCTGGTTTCAATTACTGGCAGGGTAAAATGTTGGGCAAGCTTCCTTACTCCACACGACTCTGTTTACCTAGCATTAAGTAGGAACCCTGTTGTTAGTCGATTGGCGGATCGCATTTCCAGAGTTATAATCCCTTCAAAAAAAATAATAAATTGGTCACTCAATCCATGACTGTTCATGGGACACTGCTGTGCACAATTGGCTGCTGATTTTCTCCCACAAAATATACAGTATATTCTGTGAAGTGCTTTGAGACGTCTTGAAGACATGATAATGCGCTCTATCAAATACAAGGATTTGAGGTGTGATTTTCAGCCGAATGTGATCTGTAAGGCACATTTTAACAATGACATACATCATATGTTGTACAAGACTATTTGTACTTTTTTTTAAATGGTACACCTACATTACTCTGAAAATCTGTGAGAAATACAAGATTGTGTGGTCGAGGATTAATGCTGGTTTTCGGGCGGTTTCAACTGCCCCCATTGAAGGAGATACACAATTAGAATCTTTGCTAGGCTGTTCTTGAGCAGCTTGATGGCACAGATATAGATGCAGTACTCTTGCCCATCTGCCTAATTGAAATAGGTTGTGCTACATGGCAGAAGTCACTAGACCATAGAGAAAATAGATTTCAAAAGGTAGACACCAACTGTCCAGTTCCACAGGAGGGAAACTTTGGAATCAAATTAATAATATTTATTTTCACAACTGAATCTGGTTCTGTAATTCCAAACTTTGTAATGGGGCGGAGGAGGAATGAAAATTAACATGACGTACAAAGTGTTTACAGCATTTCCAACAGTGGAATCATTCAATTACTGTTATTAAAAAATAAAATTCCATGTGGGAGGGGGGTGGAGAATCACACAAACTGGCTTTATTGTATGAGAAATTACTCCAATGGAGCACTGCGTCATTCACATGCTTACTGCTCCATTTCTCCAATACCGTCAGTGCTCAAGGCTGTTTCCAACACAGTCTGATGGTCCTGCACATGTCACAACTATACAAAATGTCCAGGGCACTTTCGTACAGTTTTAAAAGGGATAAAACAATCATAAAATGTCCTCAAGTCAAGAACAATGATGCACTGACACACTATCAAATTTTGGTATACTATTTTATTCCTAAATTAGAGCATTAATAACCCAGTTAAGAACAAACTCACACAAATCCTGAAGCTTTTTCAATTAATTTTTACTTCAGATGAAATTCCTCTATAAGGTATATCAAGTTATATACCGAATTTCACATAAATTATTAGCACCACTAAAAGCACTGATAGTAATTTCACCATTATAATAAAGCTTCTGTATATACAAACACATTTTGCAACAAATGCAGTCTCTGCTAACTAACTTAGCAATCTACTGTTACACTACTGCAATTTGTTTCTGTTTCTTACACAAATTATTCTCATTTGATCAAGAGGGTAACATTTCTCTTGCTGCTAATGAGTAGAGACCTTGACAATATGTCCTTATAATAGAAAGTTCTCCAATTAGGTGATTTAGGAATGGATCACACATGTGTGGAGACACAGCTTTACTTGAAAATCGGTAAATTT